CTAAGCTAGTTAAGGCTTATAGTAGGATATAATTAGAGGTAGACGACGAATATAGTAATCCCTTCGTTTTAGTACTAAATCACGTTAGTTTTATATAAGATTACCTAATAAGCTTAATTATAACTAGAAGATTAAAGAAATAAGGTATCGTTTTTAACACAGACCTCGAGGTCTTAAAGGTTAAAGGATCTGCCGAAGAGGGCTTATTAGCCCAACTACTTAATAATATTAACGAGTAATATGCTTTTATTCTAATAAACCGTTAATAATAGTAGCTAGTCGATAGTAGCTTCTTTAATAGCTTTATAGCACTGATTATAAGCGTAGCTAACACTTATTTATAGTATAAGAGGCTAGGGTATACCGGGGCTACTGCCCTGGAAAAGATAGGGAATACCCTCGCCGGTGGCGTTATTAAAGGAAAAGGCCCTTTCATAGTGGACTATAAGGCCTATACCCTTAGTAAGGTTAAGAGGCTAGTATTAACGAGGGTAACCACCTACCGGCCGATAAGGCCGTGGTAGAGGGTGGAGGTTGATTTCTTTAGCCTTAATAAGGCCTATAACGGTATAAAGATTACTGCCCTGTTTTTCGATCTCTACAAGTGCTAGATCGTTATTAGACTCCTACGTAACGCTATACCAGTACTCTAGATAATAGCGAACTTTAAGTTCCTCCTATGGCGATAATATAGTCTAAAGATTACTATAATCCGCCTGGATAGAGAAAGATCCCTTTAGGAAGGCCTTAACGAGTAGGCTAAAGAACGGGGTATCTTACTAGAAAGGTCTATACCGCACACGGCTACTTAAAGTCCTTGAGTAGAATACTACGGCGGCGTTATCTTTACTATCGCGAGAACCCTTATAACGGCCTTAGGCATTTAATAGGATATATAGCTAGAGATCCTTGTTATTATAGTATACCGATATAACCTAATTCCTTATCAGGACCTCGAGTAGAAGTCTCTAAAAGGATAAATAAAGGATTATATTATTAAATAAGGCCTAAAGAAGATCCTCACGAAGCTAATCGTTAGCTACTTAAAGAGGTATAGTTATAGAGCCTATCCTCTAACCGCTAACTACTAATAAGGTTATAACCTTGATACTATATTAGCCGAAAGAGTATATATCGGTTATTTAATCGGTTATAAAAGTACCAATATATACCGGATTTAGGTGCTAGACTTAGTGAGGATTCTACGCACGAGAGACATTATCTTTAATAAAGAACTCTTATATAAAGATCGCGATATAGAGCCGCCGGTTACTAAAGAAGTTTTCGAGTAATTAAATCTACCGGTGGATTATTAACTCCACGATTCTCTCGCTATTACTACTAACGTTACCGATCTTCTACTTTAACCACTACTAGAAAAGAATACTATAAGGGAGGCTATCGCGGCTACTACTACTGCTAGTGCTTTTAGGGGGGTGAATAGAGGTATAGGTTTAATAACCACTATAGAATCTATAGAAGAATAATAATAGTAGGAATAGCAGAAGGCACCTAATTAAGAGGCACGAAGAATAGGGTAAATAAGCCCTATAATGCCTTCTACGTCTTTAGCAGTACCTACTGTAACGTCTTTTATGATTATACCTATAATTATGCCTATAACGGCACCTATTTTCCCTTCTTTAATAACTATAAACGGCCCCCCTATACTACTAACTAGAACTACGGATCTACCGCCTATTTTCAAACGGCCTAACGATACCGAAGATTAATCTAACGATACGGCCGTAACCGGCAATACCGTCGCGATAGGATTATTATCCCCTAACTAATCGGTTCTTAACGAGGACCTAGCCACTACCACCGCCGTTAATCCGGTATCTACGGCTCCTACTAAGTCTTCTTCAACCTTTTCTTCTCTTACTATAGCTAATTAACCTGCTTCTATAAGTAGAAGAAGCTATACTCCTATTATCCCGACCGCCGCTACTAACCGGTCTGCCCGTAGTAGGCGTCTAACCGACCGTTATACCCCTCCTTCCTTTTATACCTTCTATAACTAGATTAAGATGCCGAAGAAACCGCTACTACGCCGCGATATACTTAAGGAACCTCTAAACTAGTCTTAAATACTAAAGAGTCCCTATAAATTAGAATGGATTAAGGCCGCCTCCTAGGAGGTCGGCACGTTTAGGTTAATAGGCACCTTTGAACGGTGAGAATAATCCTACTGGTTGGAGAACGGCTCGGGACTAACTAAATCCGTTCTAAGGCCACTAGACCTTAAATAGGTTTTTAAGTATAAGGTCGATCCTACTGGTTATGTTAATAAGTTTAAGGCGCGCCTTTACGTTCGAGGGGATTAATAACCTAATAGCCACCTTAACGCTTACGCCTCCACCCTCGTTAGAAGGACCTTTAGGTCGCTAATAGGTATTATAGCCTACTTCGATCTCGAGACTTAGTAACTTAATGCCGTTAACGTATTCACTAATACTCTGCTTAACGAAGAGATCTATATTAAAGACCCCCCGGGTTAGTAGTTACTCTAATTACCTATAGGCCTTAAAGCCGATAATTAACTCGAGGGCCTTTTAAAGTAACGCCCTCCTATATAACGTAAAGGGATTTAAAGGCTATATCGAGTATTATATAGCCTCCGCTATTCCCTAAAGCTATAGCACTAATACCTGTCTTCCGTACTAAGTAAATACGGTTTAAAGTAATTAACCGAAGACGACTATATCTTTAAGAACAAGGTCCTAATTACTTTCTTTTACGTTAACGATATTATCCTAATCTACCGTAAGGAATATTAATCTACTACTAATAATCTAGTATAGTAGATATAGAAGAGCTTCTAAGTTAGGGATCTAGGACTACTTAAGTGGTTCCTTGGAATCCGTATAGGACGCGATCGTTAATAATATAAGCTATAGTTATCGCTTAATAACTGTATCACCGATAAGATAAAGACATTATAGGTGGATTATAGAGGTTATAGAGTTAAAAGCCCTTTTCCTTATCCTAATATCTTAGAACCCTTTACCGACTAATAAGCCTCCAAAGAATTAATCTATCTATATCTTCGGAAGGTCGGTTCTATTAACTACGCCGCTTATTAGACCCGGCCTAATATCTTTAAAGCCGCTTCGAGGCTTACCGAATTTAGCATTAACCCCTTAAAATACTATCACGAAGCTACGAACAGGTGCCTAAAGTACCTCGGCTCGATAAAGACCCTATACCTCTACTTTAGACCACGTAAAGACTACTAAAAGCCTATACTCTTCTATACCTCCGATACAGCCTTCGCGGATAACAGTAAGACTAGGTATAGTTCCTAAGGGTATACTACCTTACTATTCGGGGGTCCTATAGACTAAAAGGTAAATAATTAATTAAGCGTCGTGACCTTTAGTACTAAAGCCGAGCTTATAGCGCTTTCTACTACTACTAAGCAGTATATCGCGACGAGGTGTTTAATAGAGGACCTTACCCTTACGTTTAAGGAGGAACCACTAACTATATACTACGATAATAAATAAACTAAGTAATTACTAGAGTCGCCGCGGCCTTAGGTTACCTTAAAATTAAAGTATCTTTATATCCACGCCCTTTAGATCTGATAAACTATTTAAAAAGGGACCGTCTTGATTAATTAGATCGCTACTAATAATATAGTCAGCGATAGCCTTATAAAGGTATTACCCCCGTAGAAACACAGGGCCTTTATATATCTACTTAGTATAAAGGTCCTGCCGAAATTAGATTAAAGTAATTAATAGGGATAAAGTCCTTCTATTACGTTTTTAATTAAAGGAAAACGGTTAATTAGACTGTTATCTTAAGTCTTCTTATGCCCCTATAGACTATTATTTAGGTACTACTTTTAATACTTTTTAACTGCTTTTTGGCTTTAACGCTTGAACACCGTTAATTAATATCTAGGCCTATTTTACCCTAGATTTACGGCTTTAAATTAAGCAGAATAGTCAGGATTAATCCTGTAGTTCTGGGGGGTGTGTTAGATACTATAGCCACCTTATCGGGGTGTGATAAACCATATTATATTAGACGTGTGGAGTACCTTAGTCCTATATATCCACCCTTATTTCCCTTGCTTTTTCCGTATAGTTAGATATCCCCGTGAAGTATTATAAACTTCACTTAGATAAAAACATACACAATTCCGCGTACCTTATTTATATTCTAATACTCTATTTTACTATACCTAGCTTCTAATAGCTTTTAGCCCTTAGGGCGATAGGTACCACGCCATGGCTTCAGGGCTATATACGCGTAATAAATAAATAATAAAAAAAAAAAAAAAAACTCGCTAAGCTTATTGCTATAGAAAAGGGCGTTCCTTCTGAAGGGAGTAATAGAGGTAGTAAGCTATATATCTATAGCTACTATCTTTTATTCGTATCGTATATAGGTGTATTCGTTCTATTTAAACTCTTAAAAATCTTAGCTATAAGTGGTTTTCCCCGTAGTTAGTAAAACTATCTAGTAGGTAGGTTACTATACTAAGGTTATTTTAGGGTAGTCGGTGTTTCCCGGAATAGCAGGGTAGGTGGGTTCTACGATAGGGTCTTTAGATCTTAAATATATGTAGACCGTATTTGTTTTTACTAATATCTAAAACTAGAGGTTCTAGGACTCCTAGTCAGTATAGCTAGTATAAATAGCCTTAGGAGTCTCGGATATATTACCGTTTAAGTTATTATAGTGTATAGGCTATAAATTTAGTCGGTTATATCTCGCCATAACGGCCTAGCTAGTAAGGCTCTTAATAGTAGGAAACAAGGATAAATAAAGCTAAGACTCTTAATTATCGAATATATCGTAACCGTAAAAGGATAAATACGAAAAGAATAGTCAAATCAAGAGGCTCTAAATTAGTTTTATCAAAGCCGTAAAACGTTATAAAAACCTGTAATTATAGGAGGCAAAATTCATACTCTATAATCCTACGGATATCCACCTTCCATGCCTAAACTCGTAGTCGGTCCTTAGGTTGTTCCACACCCCAGGGAGGTCTATGCGACAATGATGCCTTGCTCTGGATCGCCTAGCTGTTAGCCCACGCCCGACTTCGATATCAGCAGTCGAGTAGCATCACGACAACGGCATCCAGCCTGTCTCTGAGACTGAAAAGCTCGATGATGGGTTTACTTTCTGGCTAAATCGAATTCACACAAATCCCACCACTCCAAGCAACCATGTCCGATATTGAAGCGCTCTCCTCCGCCCAGGCGGTCTCGGAGGTCCGCTCTCCGGGCTTTGAAAATGCCTCCGAAGGCAGCAATAAGTTTCAGCATGCGATATCTGCGTGGAGAAGTATGAGCTGTCGTTCGGGGTTTCTCACCCTCTAAGCTTCTTTTACTGACTTGTCTTAGCTATCGACTATACCACCCTCACCTCGAACCTCGACAATACAGCCTCCGAGATCGTCTCTTACCAGCGAGACTCTACCGTTCAACGGAAGGACCTGGCTCAGAAGACAAAAGCATTCCGCAAGCTTGACGATGACTCCAAGTTGGCGGAAGTTAAGGGTCTCCTCAAAGGTATGCAGTATCATTTGAACTGTTCATGTCTCCTTCTAGTTGGTTATAGCTGACGGAGCACTCACGTAGCGTACCAGACATTTATCGATCTACTGACGAACCACTCCAAATCCGTCAACTCTGCTTTTCTCAAGGTCTATACATCGTTGTCAGAAGCGCCCGACCCGTATCCACTACTAGAAGCTTCCGTCGACTCTATGTTAGCTTCGGAAGATGCGATGCCGAAGTTGGCCATGGAAAACGAGAGGCTGCAACAATATGTCAACAAACTAACTACCCAGCTTGAAAATACAGAGAATCGACTGCAAATGGAAATTCTAGCCCGAAACGAGTTGCAAAACGCCTTGGAGAAGGAAGTTAAGGATGTCGAGACATCCTGGATCGCCGTCTTGGATGAAAAAGAAGACAACTGGGCAACACGAGAGAAGGCTCTCGAAGAGAGAGTAGAGAATCAAGAGCGACTTCTTAGCGAGGTCAAGGCTAGCTATGAAGTGAATCAGCGCCTTGGCATGTCCAACGATGACGATCAACAGAACCAGCACGGCCATATTGCTGTTGCCGAGGTTGAGATGCTTCACGCTGACTTGGAGCGTACTAGCGCGAGGCTTGCCGAGATGGAAGCTCGGAACGAGCAACTACGTCTTGATCTCGCCCAGGCGAAGTCCCACGTCTCCGCGCGGACTACCAGCTTGGAAGATGATCCAGCTTACGTACGTATGCGGTCCGAGAACTACTCGTTGATCCGAAAACTTGATGCCTCCCGGTTAGAGAAAGAGGGACTGAAACGCGGGCTTGATATGCGGCTGCGGATGCTGGAGAGAGAGGCCGCGCTGCTCAAGGAGGAGAGGGATGGACTTAAAGCGAAGGTGCAGAACTGGAGCGACTACAACGAGCTGAAGCAGGAATTGGATGTTCTTAAGAGTATCGAGTTCGCTGCAGACGATGACGGCGACTTACCAGCTGGAAAGGATGATGCCGAACAGGTCGCCAAGCCTGGGGCGGAATCGTTGGAGAAGCTTCTTCTGGCGCGCAACAAAAAGTTGGGCGATGAACTGACAGTTCTACGTGTTTCTCACCAAGACCTCCAGGTCAGGGTTGAAGAGCTTCAGGAACTTCTGTCGCAGACGAATGCTGACTTGGAACGAGCACAACTTCTTAATTCAAAACTGGAGAACGATTTGTCGAACGTTCAGTATGAGTTTGCCAATGCATTCCCGTCTGGCGCATCAGTGGCAATGAGCCGCCACGCGCCCTCGGGTGCGCTGGGAAAGAAAGGTGCCAGGATATCGCCCACGTCTTCGATTATTAGCGGCATTGATCCCCATGCCTTGGGTGGAGAGCCCGTGGCTAGCGGCCACGGAATTCTTCCCATGGTCACTGCTCAGCGTGACCGCTTTAAGAAGAAGAATGCACAACTGGAGAGGGAATTGTCCGACTGCCATCGCACGGTGTTTCAGCTGAGACAGGAAGTCGCTGCGCTTCAAAAGGATAACTTGAATCTTTATGAGAAGACAAGGTACATGTCGACGTACAACAGGAGCGGCCTATCAGCTTCGTCGTCGTCCGCGGCATTCGGGTTAAATCCAAATCCCTCAACCGTGCCGATCGGTGTCTCGACCAATTCAGGCATAGCGATGGAGAGGTACCAAAAGGCATATGAGTCGAACATCTCTCCATTCGTTCAGTTCCGTGGTCGCGAATCCGCGAGGGCATACAAACGATTGAGCTTGCCGGAACGAGTCGTGTATACCATGACGCGAATGGTGCTTGCGTCCCGTACGAGTCGGAACTTGTTCGCAGCATATTGCTTAGTTTTGCATATGTTGGTCTTCATATCCATGTACTGGCTGGCTTCCGTGGATGTCACGCATCATATCAGCAGTGTGGGCGCAGCAGCATCGGGAGCTGTAAGCAACGGTGGCGCCAGGACCATGGAAGATCAAGACACCAAATGAGTCCAATGTTTTTATAAGGGAGTGTATCAATAGGAGGCACGTTTGGATATCCAGCAGGTGAAATATGCAAATGTAGAGGCAGGTTCTTTTATATATTGTTAGAACACAAATACAGGTACGGAATTATATTGTCGTATGGGCACAGACTACCTATGCCTGGCAGACTATGCCTGACTAAGGACTTCGGACCTCGGGGACCTCGGGTATTAGGACATAATAAGGGTGGATACCGGAAAACACCGGATAGGATCCAAATAATATAGTACCGAAAGATAGAGTCTGCACTTCCGAAATCAAGGGGTAAAAGACTCTTAGCAATATAACTTAATCTAATATATATATACTAGATTTCTGCTATATTAGGTTTACTATATAAGTGTTATTTTAGGGTCCGATAGTTATAAGCCCGGTTTATAACGTCTAAACGATATATATTAATACGGGTATCCTTTTCTACTATAAAACTAATCATATTTAAAAGCAGTTAAATAACTACTATTAATCTAATCAGAGTATTTAAGCCATTAATCTACTTACCTACCGATTAATTAATTAATTAATTAACCAATAAATAAGCGAAGATATCTTTGAATATATCTAATACCGAATAGAAAGCTATTACTAGCCTTGTTAACTAGAGGGATTAGGTAGCGTAGGAGCGCGCTATACGTGGTAAATCTGGCTCCTACTAGGATAACTACTATAATATAAAGCTAAGTAATAAGGAGGCTAACGCCTATCTATTATTTAAGCCTATGCTACCTAATATTCCTAAATATAAGGGCCTTATCGTCGACCTCGAGGCTATAACGGAGGAGACCACGGCTATTTTATCTTTTACTATCACGGTAAAGGGCGATAACGCTACTAATACCTCGGGCTAAGACCCTATCACGGCCGCTACCGCTACCGCTACCGCTACTACTACTATTACTATAGCCGCCGGTATAAAGAAGAGGACGACCGCTTATAAGAAGGCTACGGCCGTAATAAAGGAACCACCGATTAAGATTATCCCTATATCTACTAACGACTATCAGATAAAGCGTAGTCAAAACAATCACAAAAATGGTGATAATTGATTAAGGAAATAGTGTATAATTGTAACTGTGTCGGACTATTAGGGAACCGCTACTACCGTATTTTATATAGTGTAGATTCTATAAGCGTCTACCCGAATTATACTCTTAGTAATCCGGCCCGTTATATAACCGACAAGACTATAGTCTATTCGACACACTACCTAATCGCCCTAAATGTTAGTTAGGCGATTAAAGCCATTTGTAGTATATAGATATAATACACTGTTAAATAGGTACTCGTACAGAGTGAAAAGGTAGGGTTAAGTAACGAACTAGGTGTAATCACGATAGGATTATAATAGGGTCAGAACGTGGGTATAGCTAAAGAGTTAGATTAATCGCTAGCCTCCCCCTTCGAAGGGGAGGCTCCTCCGCTCCTTAAGACTACGTTCCGCTACTCCTCGAGGACTACTTATTTACTTCCTTAAGGGCTGCCATATTTACTTTAAGGGACTATTCTGTTTACTATATAATAACTGCTGTATTTATGCCTCGGGGGGTCTTAGACTAAGCGCGCCTAGACCCCTATAGGTTTACACTAGGGACCTATTATAACCACTGCTATAAGCACCTAATATAGCGACCTTCCCCGGATACTCCTATCCTTAGGAGCGCCTAACCCGTGCCGGCCTCTCGGCTCCTCCGAAACCTAGCCTCCGAGTCCGTTCCTAAATCCTAAATCCCTTAATACCCCGAACAAGAGCCCTCCACGATAGGACCCTAATAGGTTCCCGCCTAGTGCCTACACGGAGCCGCTTTAGCCGTGGCTCTAATCTAGGTATACCCTCTCTCCCTTTATCTATCGACTAAGGCTATTAATAAGGGCTACTTCCTTTTATGCTTCCGAATCCGGCGCCGCATACGGCTAAGTCCAATTAATCCACCTATAGCCGCGCCCTTACCGGGACCCTAATAGGTTCTAGGATAGTTCCTTCCCGGGCCGTTAAGTCTGCCCCTTTATCCTCCTAGGCTATCCCTTTAATCTATCTATAAAGACTCTTAAAGCTAGTATTATATAGGACCCGACGTTACTCCTTCCGTGAATTCGTAGCTTCCTTCTTTATACTAAAAATAGGTGCCTATATAACTGCTTTTTAGGGATATCTCGTAACCTGCCGTTATTCCATTTTCCTATTCTTTTCTTCCTCTCCTATACTTAATTTTCTGATTATAGTATTCTTCGTAAGTTTTCCCCTAATCTAGGATACCGCGTACTAACGTCTTATAGTCTCCGATTAATTAACTACTATCTTATAAGTGTTTCTAGATATCTTTAGCCTATAATACTAGCTAACCACGCGTAGTTACTATACCTTCCTAGGGAGATAATAACGATAATAATAAGCGTACCGCTACTCCCGCGAGTATAACGCGATCCTCTAAAAGGATTAAGATTATAGTTATAGCGTCGACCTTATAGTCCGCTAGGTAATCTACCCCGTAACTAGCTACGCCGTAGCCGGCAACGCTAGAGCCTCCTGCTTTTACTACGGCTACGTCGTCGTCGACTACTATACTATCGGTTACTCCCCGCTAGAAGGTAGTGGATATTAGTATAGGCAGAGATCTAAGGGCCCCCTATATACGTTATATGGGTAAATTAGTAATAATTAACTTTAAGGAAAAGACGTATACTATCGAGGCTAAGATATACCGATACGCCGATAATAGCTAGCGTACGAATAAGTGCTATTACTACTCTAAGTATAATAGCCTTAAATACCGCGTAGTAACTTATATATCTTTATTATTATCCCTATAGCCCTTCCCTTTATAGAATACTCCGTGGGCCCTATTAATCTAATACGTGTAATAGCTCCCTATTACCGGTAAGAATACTACCAAGTAGCTATAAAAGGATTTAGTTATCGCTATCGAGAAACGTAGTCTAAATAAGAGTTATCGTATAAGTATTACTAACTATATCCCTTATTAACCCTATATAGTACCCTTACTAATCCGTTATAGTACTAGGCTATAGTAGTTTAATACTAGGTTATCCTTAGAGAGGCTTTAGGTTAAGCGACGCTAAAGGTTAACCGGTCGTCTACCGAGGAAACTATAGCTACTCGGCGTTAAGCTAAGGAAGTTACCGACGCCCGCTAGAAAACGGCGGAAGATATCTATAAGAGGCTTAATAGTATAGAGTCGCTCCTTACGTAATTTATCGGGTTATAGTAGTAGTGCCTTACCGTTAAGTAGTAGCGGCTTAATATCGAGTAGTAACGCTTAGCGTTATACTAGCGCGACCTTATAGCCTAGGAATATACGGCCGCTGCTTTCGAGTAGATAGCTACCCTTAACCTGGCCTAGGCTTAGGCCTAGGAAGACCTACTTATACTCTTAGGGTCTGCCTTAGCCCCCGTAGGGGTTAGCTTTATAGATAACGATGTATTTAGTAATAGTGGTGGCCCCGTGTAACCTTAAGGCTTCGTGCCGTAAAGTCCCTAGGGTCCCCCGGATCCTTACGACGTGCCCGACGATAACAATATAAGGCCGACCTTATTAGTAAAGAAGGGTAGGAGGAAAAAGGCTCTAACGCCCTTAACTCCTTTATTAGGGAAGAAGACGAAGAAGTAGAAGGCGAAGACGCCTTTATCTCTTCGGCCTTCGATACTATCCGCGGGTGGTAGGTAAAAGGGGGACATAGCGGCTACTACCACGGGGCAGAGCCAGGTATATATAGAGGATAATAGTAACGAGGTGGCTAGGCGGGAGCCTACCCCTCCAGACGATAAGTTAGTAGGGTTTAAGGATGCCCTAAAGGGGCCGTGATAGTATATATAGAGGAACGGTTATTTTTTTTCAGGTTTTTTACTAGCCTTCCGGTTAGGTTTTTCCTTTTTCTTTTTAGCTAGCTTTAGGGTATTCCTATCGTAACCCTAATAGTCCTAACTATACTTCCCTTATAATATAATCGTGTCTCTACCGTAACGGTTAATTAAGGGGAGAAGTAAAGGAAAATAGATTTTAAGGGCGATAAGCTGTTATGCCTAAGGAATAAGAACGGGGTCGGGAGTAGAACGCCTAAAAAGGAAGAACAAAGGTTAAGAGCAGAACGCTAAATTAGACTTCTATAGACTGGATAGAATAGCGGAGTAAGAATAATAAGAATAATAAGATTAATTAACGTCGTATTAGCCGTTAATCCTCTAATAAGGATAACCCCTGTAAGCTCTCCGAATAGAAACTAGAGGAATACCGGGCGGCGGCTCGGTAAAAGGAGGTAGCGGCGAGCTTTGCCTTATAATAATAATAACAATAATAATAATAATAATAATAATAATAATAATAATAATAATAATAATAATAATAATAATAATAATAATAATAATAATAATAATAATAATAATAACGTGGTCGTGATAGCCGTGGCTATGGCCGTGGCCGTTGAGGCAGAGAAGGTAGAGGAGCTATCGCTGCCATAATCGACTGTAATGAAGCTTATCCGTTAATTATAATGGTAATAGTAGTAGTTAGAGTATACGAGTAATAGATAGATTGGGAGATATATTCCGTGAGGTAACCTTAATTAGTGGGATTTGACTATAGAATAGAACGACGGGTCTTAGTCTGAGCCCTGAAGATTATACCTACTACTGCCTTTAATTTACTAGATGGGTTGAATTGGTTCCTACGAAAAACCTTAAAAACGACGTTATGGTTATTTATAATCCTTATGACTTTATATACGTATTTATAGTGTATATAGAATATAGGATTTCAAATAAGGCAATTTATGTGTCTATAACAGAACTATAGTCTGAATACCCGGTTACTATAGTCGGAATAACGGCTCTCTTATTATAGATATATAAGTCAGCAAGCACTAGAGGTATATAATATACCTCTACTATAGAGCTCTGCGAGCTCACACTTAGCTAGTTTACTATCTGCACTTCTTTATATTCTGACTATTTATATTAAATATACCGCCGTATTCGGTATATTAATCAATAGTAGTAACTTAGTTACCCTTTAATAAATTTATAATCGACACGCCTATTAACCACGGGCGCGTAATAGGAGTAAAATCGTTTTTTTTATTCATTACACGCATGCAGCCCTAAAGCTATGGGGCGGCGCCTTTTGCCCTAAGGGCTAAAGGCTATCAGAAGCTAGGTATAGTAAAGTAGTGTAGTA